TTACACTTCAACTTAATGAACTCTAAGGCGTGGGTAGTTTCTGCCGTGTTCTACTGATGGGGTCACATAGCTAACTTACTGAGGTTTCTCATTTTTATTTGGGGGTTGGGGGATGATCCAGGGAACATGGCAGCTGTAGAGCAAATCCTTATTAAAGTAAGAGTGGGCCGCATTTTCTACATATGGTATAGATGGGATTGGCTTCAACTTATTTATAACCTGTTGCTGGTTTTAACAACTTGTTTCAAAGATTCGTGAAAGGAAGGAGGAAAAGGTTAGGATAGAGCGATGAGCAAGTTTTTCTCAGGAGGCAGTTGGAGTGAAACATTTAAAGTCTGTTAGCAGAACATCACCTGTGGAAAGCTGTGTCACTGTTCAGGGATGGGTTCGAGGGGACTCTGAGGAGCTTTAATAAACCCCATTCTGAGTGAAAAGGAAGAATTTTAATTTTAATTTTACTGCGGTTTAAAAAAGAAAAAAAATCCACCCTAGTGTAGATGGTAGCAAGTGCCAAAGATCTACCATTAACAAACTGAATCACTTTCTCTAATATCTGAGACATAAATGAACATATCCTGGGTTTGCTGCCCATTATGCCAATACTGGCAAGTGCTATCTCCAGATTAGCGTGGCCTGGTGGTCGTTGATTCACAAGGGAGCAGGACTGCCAATAGCCCAATGTGCCTGCTGTGCTTGGCTACCTGTATTTCTGTGCTGTCTGCAGAGAGAAGAATCTATTTATTGAATACAAGACATTCCCAATAGCAGCAGGCTAATACCCAAAAAGTACAGCTTGTATTTTTAGAAATACAACAATAATACACCCCAATCCGAGCTCATCACATAGAAACAAAGGGGTGTCTTGGGGGTGGGGGGGCGCCAACTCTGTTTATCCAGGTTTTCGAATGACTGTTCTTTTAAAAAGTGCATGGAATGCATCCAAAACAAATAATGTTTTGTTAGATGAGAAGACCAAAAGGGAAATCCTAGAGAAAGGAGGATGGATGATCTTTCTTTAATGTCAAAACTGACATAAACACATCCCCTCCCCCTTTTGCTCAAGATAATTTTCTCAACAAGACCCAGATTGCTTCAGTCTTGCCTATCACCCTTTGAAGCACTTTCCTTATTATTAGGAGTGGGGGCAGGGTTTCCTTTGAGGATTTTTGCAGCAGTGAAGAGTTCCTCCTTTAAATACTTTCACATGATGAGGGAATTCCGCTTTCAAAGTGCTGTCATCTCTGTGGCCTCTCCGCTATGAGACAATTTATTCTTGGGTGAAGATCCTTCTTAGTTTGATTGTCAATAAGGACTTGCTTTTCTGAGGGATTCTCCTTTGGCTTTTTCTGGAAGACCTAGAAAAAGAATTCAACGTTCTCCTGTGTCAAGCTTATTGAAGTTGGCTATGATTCTCTTTTGAAATGTGTTCCATCACACAGGGTTACTTACGGTCTTCAACACGGTTGTCCTTGTCAATCTCCACTAATTAAGATTTGGATGAGGTATCATATATTCCATCTTGAAAACTGCATTTCTTCTGTGCAGAGAGACACTGTGAACTTTGGGGAGTTTTAAGGAGAATTTTTTTTTTTGTTTGGTTGATTTTTTAGTGTCTCTTATGATATTTAACCAACGCCATGGGAAACAACCAGTAAATTATTCAAGTGTCAACAGTTTTCTCAGAAACATAGAAATCTTTTAAGAGCCCTGACTCCATGTCACTACACCTCATCCTTGTCTACTCTTGAATATAGTCTTCTGGAAAATTCTATAAATATTTAATTCATGGAGACAAAATGTATAGCTGTATAGTTTAATAGCTCATTTGAAAGCAGTTCCCTTCCCCCCCAAAAAAATTTTAATAGGAAAGAATTAGAATTAATTAGGAAATTCTAAAATAATTAGTAATTCTAATTTAGAATTCTAAAAGAATTAGAATTTGTTAGGAAAGAATTAGAATGAAGAAATCCTAAATAGAATGGACAGTTTTCTCAATATTATTACCTAAGATGAGCTTCTAAGTATTTGTGGTTATTTTAGATAAATGAATAAAAAATTATCCATGCCCCAGAAGTAGATTATATCATTTATATGATTGCTCTCGGACTGTCTCTTTGAAAAGCTTGGTTGTTAGTGAGAGAATCAGTATTGGTGAGTTTACATGAATTAGCTGCTTCCACCTGGAAGCTCCTAAGTGCAATGATGTAACTACCAACCAATCCAGACATGGCACTAAACATATTTCTTAAAACCTACAATCTCCTTCCAGTTACAGTATTGAAATGAATGATGTCTTGACCTCGTACTGAGGAAGAATGTGGAATGTGAAAAAATTCAACTAGATTAAAGTCAGAATACACAGATTCCAGCTTTGGCTCTGCCACGTACTGCCTGTGTAATGCTGGCAAGTACCATACCCTTCTGCTCCCTCTCCCTCTCCTCCTCGCTAAAAATCCTGTTAAGTTAGTGACCTAGATGATCTTTATGGATTTACCATCCTAAGTAAATAATAACCTTACTCCACCTATAAAGAGAAGCTTAATTATGGTGTTTGAGCCAAACTGGGTACTCTAGTGAAAAAAGAGCATTGCTAATTTCTTAATCTAGTCTATAAAAAGGGAGTATGATTGTATTTTCTGTCTCCTGTGGGACCCTGAGTCATAAATGTCCACCTCATCTTCTTGTTTATGCAGACTCTGCCTTCAAAGTGCTCACCACCTAATCAGAGAGGAAAGCCTGAAAACAGATAAGTCAAAAATCCAGTATGATAAGTAGAACAAGATAAGTGTATATAACATGAAGAAGGAGTATGGGAGGGGAACGATCTATCTATATATTTTATATACATTTCTCCATACCTATTTTGAATTCTAGAAATAGGAAAATGTGTGTGTGTTGGAGGATGGCTTTATGCTAAATTAAAAAAAATATTCCTAACTCTTTACCTGTTTACTACTAAATCGAATATGCCCTTCCATAATATTAGTTGCCATAATTAGCAATCAAATGAGTCAAAACATGGGAGGTTAAAAAATATAGAGTGTTCTCTTTCTTTTCATAACTAAATTATTTTTCAGTGTCTTCAAACATCACCTTTAAACCTCTCTTTTCTAGCCACTGGCACTTCTGCCGTTCAACGAAGAAGAATACCTAAATGTGCCAAGTAGTCATTATAAACCAAAAACTCTAGCCTAGAATACATTTAGATTCTCTTTAAAATTTAGAGAACAGGGAGAGAGACAAGTTTTCTTAAAAGTGCTGGTGTGTCTTGATGTGATTGTTTTTTGAGGAATGTTATATCTAGAAAGTTAAGGTTTTCCTGGTGATTTGCAGCAATCTTGAACTCAAATCAGGGAATTGGAAAGTGTTTCAACTCTGGGTGTTAAATCCAGCACCAACTGTGAAAGCTATACTGTTGCATAGTGGGGGACGGGGAGCTTGGGGGAGTTTCTTATAAAAACTTGGCCTGAGCTAATTTGTTTTGTTTGAAACTGGAAATCATATTGTTGAGGCCTGCGTTCTGTTTTCTTTCAGTTGGTGTATTAACACAAAGCACCATGTTTTTAAAGGGCTTCCTCCTTTCTACAGGAATAAATTTGGCTTCTGAAAGAGAAAAAAAAATTGCACCAGCCGTTCGGCAACATCACACCTCTTCCGTCATTTTGGGCTTCAGCTCAGGAACTCGCGACCAAATTTCTGGAAATATGTAAAAACATGCCTAGAAGTACTGAACATAAAACCTGGCTGTATATTCATAAACATTTGTACAATCTTATGGTCCTTATCATTGAGTTTCTTAAAGCTGTGCATGTATATTTAAAACATCGTTCGAATAAATGAAAATTGGAACAAGATGCTGTTTGAGAGAAGGTGCTCCCTAGAGATGCCTGATGAACAGTGCTCTATGGTTTTCTTCTAGGAAGTGAGCAAGCCTCTTGCCCATAAAATAGATAGAAGCTGCTTTCCAGATTGCCCTGCCCCGAAAATTTAGATTATGATGGAAACTATGGAATACTCATTTTTTAATATTTTAACCCCACCAACTAAGTGCTGGAAAAGCATTCTTCCTAAAGAAGCCTGGGAAGTTGAAAAGTGAACAGCCAGAACAGCTATAATAAATAAATCCTTAAAAAAAAAAAAAAGGGCAGAAAAAAACAACTCTAAAAATGGGAGGGGCACCTGAGTAGCTCAGCTGGTTGAGTGTCGATTCTTGGTTTTGGCTCAGGTCATGATCTCGGTGTCCTGGGATCAATCCCTGGGTCAGGTTCCGTGCTCAGCAGGGAGTCTGTGGAGGATTTCTCTTTCCCTGTCTGTCCCTCTCCCCGACGGTGCATGCCCACGTTCTCGCTCTTTCTCTCTCAAATAAACTATTCTTAAAAAAAAAAAAAAAAGAACAGTTGCATTGTGTTTTGCAAAATGTCACACCGTTAAGACTCCTAGTGGGTGCCCAATGACTCTGAGGAAGAGAGGCAAGACCAAGTGGCGAGAGAGTTTTATAAATCCAGGGATGCTCTGGGAAACTACTGGATGGTCTAAGAACGCTTCTGGAAACATAAACACCCAACGCAACTGTGATCTGAAGTGAGGAGGAAGTTATTCTTCAAGAAAAGTTGCACTCGTGGGGCACCTGGGTGGCTCAGTGGGTTAAGCCTCTGCCTTCAGCTCAGGTCATGATCTCAGCGTCCTGGGATCAAGCCCCACATCGGGCTCTTTGCTCAGCAGGGAGCCTGCTTCCCCCCTTCTCTCTGCCTGCCTCTCTGCCTACTTGTGATCTCTCTCTCTGTGTCAAATAAATAAAACTTAAAAAAAAAAAAGAGTTGCACTTTTGGGAAATATATTATCCTTCAGCTTTGTACCTTTTCCTTTCAGGCTGGAGAAGTTAAGCACGAGTCATATACTAAAGATTTTCATTCTTTGTGTAGTAGTTCTTTAACATGACATTCTAACCCAAGGCTGTCTGTCTCTCCTGTCTGTTTTGTTCTGGTGCTGCTCTGCTCCAGGTTGGCCTTCATTCCACGATGTGATCAGTTCTGATGCGATCACGTTCACGGATGACTTTTCCTACGGGATGCACCGGGTGGAAACGAGCTGCTCTCAGGTCAGTTAACCCCACCTGAAAACCCACTGTGATGCCCCCTTTGCATTGCAAACACTTTCTGGACTCCTGGTTGTGCTAAATATAGCAACTAACGCCAAGTGACTGATCATAAAAGGGATGGAGGAGCACAATGAAGTCTCTATATAGTAACGATATCTCAGTCTTCAGATGTTCAGTAAGTCCAACTGAATGCCAGTCATTGGCTTCAACACTATTTTAAAAAAAGAGAGAGAGCGAATGGTCAGGAAAATCATCTTTAGTTGACTCAGTACAGTGGAGAATGGGCTATTCTTAGGGCATGTGAAGATTTCACTGTGTGGCTGTGTATAATCCGATATTTTAGAGAATACCCCTCTTCCTGCAGTTCTGTGCATGTGTTGTTCACCTGTAATGATCCCAACATGGTCAGTCAAGACCCCAGGGGTGGCTTTCCCCATGTGGGTGCAAGGAGAGAGGTCGGAGAATGGGCAGTGGAAAGAGGACGTTCAGTGGTAGGATCTAGGAGCTCGGTGTGTGAATATGCGGTAACGTAATGCCTTCTCTCCTTCTAGTATATGGACCTGTCTTCGTTTCCACGGATGTTCCAATTAGTTCCTGTCACTCTGCTCTAACTGAATCAGGGCTGGCTCTGGGGAGAAAATGAGCATGTGTCGAGAGGCAAAGATGGTTAATCTGTCATGCCAATGTCGAGGCTTGAACTGTTGGGTATTTTGTATTTAAACTCAAAGACATAGCCAGAACCTTCTGTACACAGAATAAGAGCAACTGCACACTCCAGTCTAGAGTAGGTAGTCCTGTTCTGATCTGCTTTGCATAAGTGAAATGTCAAGTCTGAGTATTGTGGCACTGAAATTCATTGATACTATGGAGTAGTTTGTCAGGGGATGTCTGTTGTACATATCAGATGTAAAGGGGGCACATCAGGCAGCTGAAATAGCAAAGTGATTGCCACGTGGGCCTCCCTCAACATTCTTCTACTTGCCCTTTAACTCCCTTCATCAGGCACAAGAGTTTTAGGGAGTAGGTGGCATATTTACTACCAAGCAGGGAGGGAGATTGGTTAGAACCCAACCATCTGATGAATTTGTGTTTTCTTTACCTTTCCTAACTTACCTTCCTTCCTTCCTTCCTCCCTCCCCCCTTCCCACCCACCTTCCTTCCTTCCTTCCTTCCTTCCTTCCTTCCTTCCTTCCTTCCTTTCCTTTCCTTTCCTTTCCTTTCCTTTTTCCTTTCTTTCACTAAAGGTGAGTTTATTGTCTTCTAAGCATGAGTACCACTCTCTCCCTTGAAAAGCAGACTTCTTATTTTAGCTAGGTCATACTTTCGGTCCACTCTTGTCTCTCAGATATGAGTCTCTGAGTGAGACATTGGAAATTTCCAATCCTGGGTCTCCCCCTCAGAGATTCTCATTTAGTTGGCCTGTGTAAGGCCTGAACACCAGCAGTTTTTAAAAGCTATGTGGTTAATGCTCACATTAAACTTGTGAGCTATATACTGTTATTCTTTCTTATTTTTTAGTTGAGAAAATGGAGACACAAAGAGGATAATTACACTTGTATAAAGCTACATCGATTCAAGCAGCAGAGCTGAGACTCGAACTTGGGCATTGAGCTCCAGAGCTCTAGGGTGCTTAGATGGACAGACAAGCCATAAAGAGTCACATTAAACCAAAAAAGTCCTATGACTTAGTTTAATTCAATTCATATCTGAATTTAATTGCTTTTAATTGATATTCTTGTAACTGCCACAAAAACTAATTATGATTATCTCCCCAGGAATCTAAAATATTCAACAAAAAAGTAACCCGGTAGGATGGTACATAGCAATGTATAACTTAGGTACATAATACTTAATAAACCTCTTTTAAGACTAACAGTTGTGTTTTAAGCTGACTTAAAGGCTGTTAATGACTGCTACTCTCCATTTTCTTCAGAACCTACTTTCAAACATTGAGTCCCATGAGAACCAAATAAACAAGGCACAGAAAAAGTGGGGTATAATAACTTTCGTTAATGCCCTATTCTCTGACGTTTCTGTGACTATTTCTTAAAAGTCACAGAATAAACTTGGTCCCTTGTGCCAGCCACAGAGATAATACTAGCAGTGGTCAAGAAAAGACCATTATGAAGATGAAGTTGTTCTACAGTGACCAAAGAGAAACGAAACCTACAAGCTGCCCAAATCAGGCAACATTAATAAAAGATATTAAGCTAAACAAGGAACAGCTCTCAGCCCTTTGGTCAAAGGGCTAGGTGACTGTTAAACTTTAGGTCCTTTGGGTGAAGAACCAACACTGACCCCTCCCTTCTGGCTTCTTTCCCCACCACCTTCATTTCTTGTATTTGGAAAGTGTGTGGCTCCCTCTTAAATAAAAGTCTTAAATTTGAAGAGAAGAGGGAGGGAAATTTATTCTATTAAGGCATGTGTAAGAATACATCCTCTGTGAAGTAAGTTTCATGGAGAAAATAATTAGATTCCAACATTAAAGAAAGATGTGTTTCCTGGATTCTTCTCCCTGTGGGCAGAGCGGGGGATGTCTGCCTCGCGAGAGTGGTAATAACTCACTGAAGTGTGCTGGGTGTCTGTCTGTCCCTCTCTTCTTTCCTTCCTTCCTTCCTTCCTTCCTTCCTTCCTTCCTTTCTTTATTGCATGTTTCATCCACACGTTTATTTTCCTTTTGTTTTACATTTTTCTTGAGTTTTTTTTTCCTTTTCCATTTTCTCACTCATCCTTTTTATCTCAGCTGGAAAAAAATAACTGACTTAATGGTTTCCATACAGAGTAAACACTTGTATTTTGTTTCCTAGTTTCTCATTCTTAATGCTACTTTTCATGATCAGTTTGTCTTTTATTTTAACCTTCTATTCTTTCAGTTTATGTAATCTCCCTCCTATTCATAACTTCTCCCATCATTTTGGGGGGAAGTGGTATAGGAAACTTGACTCTGATCCACTTCTCATCTTTCTAAATTTTTTTTTTCCATTTTGAATTCAGATGGTTGTCCTCTCTCTGGACTGAATTGAAACAATGTAGTTTGTCTGATGAAGAATCTGTTAGATGCTGTAGATATCTCATAGACATTCTCAGTTGGACACGTTATGTGGAGTACTTCTTTCCTTGTGGTAAAGATGCCACATCTACACATGAAGACCCTCTTACTGTCATCGTCTTCAAATGAGCTGAGCTTCCGTGGACACAACCAGTAGGCTCAACCTACTTGCCTGCTCTTTTTTTTTTTTCTGTTGGTCCCTAATTTTTACTCTGATATTTAGGATTCTTCTTTTTCTTTCCTTTCCTTTCCTGCCCTTTCCTTTCTTTTCCTTTCCTTTTTTCCTTTTCTTTCTTTCTTTTTTTCTTTTTTAATTGTGATACAGATCATGTTATGTAGTTAATTAGACCTCGTATTTGGGTGAGAATTAAAATTTATTGGGAGCTATAACTTATCACCTCTTTATACTAACCTGTAGTTTTTCCATGTGTCCCGTGACTTCTTTAGGTAATAATACTTTAGTAAGATTTTGTTGAGAAAGTTAAGATTGTTAAGATTGATTCAGTACTGTCATCACTTTTCAGAGAAAGAGTGCGGCCAGGTCCTTCTAAAAGAATTGCTGGGTGAGAATCCCAGCACGCGGCCTGATCTTTAAGTTAATAGCACAGAGAACCAGTAAGGGTGGTGGGGATTCTTACACGTCTTCTGTTAGGACTCCTGCTTGTGGAGGGAATAGGCTGCCCTGTTACGTTCTGATTTTTGTTGCAACCATATTTGTTTGCTTTTCCTATTCTATGCGCTGAATTGTGGAATTATATTCTAGTTATCTCTTCAAAAGAGGGTCTTTATCTTAAATCTGTCCACTTTAGTATCTTCTCCCCAGCTGTGGCAGTTTTCTAACAGTTTGCAGTTACAAGATTTTTTTTTTAAGTTTTATTGAAGCTTTTCATTTAGTGATAAAATAATGTTGCGTCTATCCCAGTTTCACGAACTACTCTGAATAGTTGTTTGACAGCTTCTTCCTAATCCTCCAAGCCCAGCCTGTTAAACAGTGCTTTGTCAGGAGTTTAAATTCAGTGCAAAGAGGTAGGAGTTGCATGGTTTAAGCTGTAGTTCAGAGAACTAAGTCCCTCCTGGTAATACTTGGGGGATTCTTCCTTCTTTATATCAAAATTCTACATCTGCAGCAAATGGGAGACCAATAAATTACTTAACTTTTGGAAATCATCTTTAAGGAAACCATCAGATAGATGCTGAGTTTACGCGAGTTGGAGTCTACTTTTGCCTGTTGCTGTTACTAGCTGGAATCTACAGTAGAGTCCCTTAAGTTTGTTTTAGATCATTATTAATTTGTTCTATGGCAGCCAAATCAACAGAAAGGTAAATATCCACCCATACTCGGCATTTTTCAAAAGTTAAGCAGATTTTGGTAAAACCCCAAACCTTATTAATCTTTTGCAGATGACAACTGTTATATTGCTGATGATTAAAGATACCCATGTGTTACAATAGGGGTTCAGACTCACAGCCCATCTCTCTTTTTCTTGATCTTTCAGTAAAATCATAATGCTAAACTGGTGACTTCACAATCATTTCCTTGGCAAAAGATTAATATCACAAGCACAGAGGAAAAGAGCCCTACTTGCACACAAGTGTCTTCAATAACAGTGGGAGAAAACAGGATACTACTGGCAAAGTAAATTGCTTTTCTTCTTATACTCTTTTCTCCTTCTCATCCTGCCCCATGTGCCCAAGTGTAAAAGCCCCCACTTTGAAACTGCTTCATCTTGTAGATCAAACACTTAAGAGAAAATGACAATAATAAAGCCCCCAAACATCCTAGACAAAGCTGGGAGAAAACCGTCTAGGACAGTTGGAAATACATCAGTGCAGAAATATGTAACTGTGTTGAATGCACTATTTGTGTTTCTTATGCACACGATTGAGAACTGCAGTCAGATTTTAAGGAATTATGTTAAATTTGATGTTCAGTCACTTTTTGGGAACCCGGGGGTAGGGGGCTCTTTTCTCTTGGTTCTCTGCAGGTTCCCCAGTTGCCAGATTTTTTGAGTGGGAGGCTTCAATGATAAAGGATTCCTTTGGGAACTCTAAAATGTCCCTTTGAACAATTATCTCATGCTTTTTTCCGAATGAGAGCTAGAAAATCCAGTTGTCGCTTGTAGCTTCCTATACAACAAATGCGTAACCATTTTCAAACAACTTTCAAAAGGCACACCAAAGATTTTACCCTGAAATAAATCATTAACAGCAGGTCTCCGAGATTTCTTCATCGGGCAGCCAGTTTGTTTCAGTTACAACCAGGTGTGCTGAGAGCCCAACACGTTGCCAGTTGGCCAGGCCGGGGAGGCAGAGCTCGCAGGCGGCTAAAGAAACAATGCATCACTGACAACTTCCATTCATCATCCCAGCCTTCGGCCAGGGGTAGAGGCTGGAAAGAATGGGCTCCATGTGCGCTCCCCTCAGGGAGGAACCTTCAGAGCCTGTGCACTTTTCAAAGAAACTGGATGATAGTCATTTATGGGAGACTGGGTGTACCTGGGGAGGGGGGCGGGCGGAGAAGCAGAAATGGCGCTGCGTGGTTAGGCTTCCTGTGGACAAACTGCTTTGCGGCTCTGCGGGCATCGGGGTGAGCATGTGTGTGGTGGCGCAGACCGAAACGCACACCTGGCTACATTTTGCAATGTTGCTCCTCCCTCAGTTATCGGAGCCTGGGGTGAATCTTCCAGAATATCTTGTGGCAAGCACGATGAAGCTATCATTATCATTTGTAGGCGCTCTCTCCTTTTCTGAGGATTTCCCTACTTCATCCGCATCCCATAAGGTGTTCTGCCAATGATTTCTGTTGCCTCTTTCTAACTGTGTGTCCTCTTCCTCGTCCCCCTTCCTTTTTCCTTTCAGATTAGGGACATCTAGAAGCTGTGTTTTTCTTTCCGTGTAAGCAAAACACCAGTTCCGGATTTTACAGATGAAACTGCAGCCCAATAAGCAACTCGGTTCAACAGATTACATTAACTCTAAGTTGGATTTGTTCAAGATGATCTGGGAAATGAAGACCATACCAGTACTCCTAAATAGCTTCAAATGTATCATTACTGTGTTTTATTTTTGGAGTCAGGTAAACACAGAACTGTTTTCTAGATATGGCCAGGAGATGATTAAGAAAGATAATGTCACTTATTTTGTCCAGATAGCTATATTCTCTCATTAAAACACAAAACCAGAAAACCCATCTGAGGCTTTTATGTGCAAAGTCCACCCCTCAGATGCCAAGCGAGCAAAATGCCAGAGCTGCACGTGAGATCGATAATTGTGCACACACACTGGTCACCGAGAGCTCAGGTTCCTGTTGGCCTTCACCCTGTTTTGGCAGTGAGAAATAGGTGTTTTCATGTGTCCATTGAGTAAGCATGTGTTTTTTTACTGGTGCATCTTAGCTGCTGATGCCTGAAATTTGGCCTCAATTGTTTATAGAAAGGAAAAGCAATCTGAGCTGTCAGCCTTGATATTACCTAAACCTGCATAGAATGTGGTAAAATAGAGCAAGATTTGTTTTTTAGGCCTGTTTCATATTTTCCAGGCAATAGATCAAATCAGTTCAGGGTTCATTTTTAGTTCTTTAATAAGCTGACACAGTATGTTGGCAATAAAATAGGAATGCACTTTTAACATGGAAGTGCCATATAGTCAGAGTTGCTATTTGTGCTGTTTATTAATAACACGAGAACCCCTGGGAACTGAGTGTAGCACTTAGGATAGAGAAACTGAGATTCTAGTTCTTTCCATTGTAATAAGCATGATCATCTCCATTTGATTCATTAGCCCAATTCCCATGTCAGTTCCTTCTCTCTTCCCCCATTATTTCTAAGGGGACACCAAGCAAGCACAGTGAGAAGAATTAATAAACCATCTGTAGGCCTTTTGTCTCATGTTCTTCCCTAAATCTTGACTCTACTGTCTGTTTGAAATGCTCCTCTGATAGCCACTCCTTCACTTCCTTTGGCTTCTTATTACAGAGTCACCCCAGGAGAAGAGCCCCTCGTCATCATACCTGCAGTATCAGCCCCGAACCCTAACACTTCATATCTCTTCCTCTTTCTTCCCCTCTCCCATCTACCATACTGGACAGTCAACTGATCTCTTTGCATGTTATCTGCCTCTCCCCCTAGAATGTAAGCTCCATGAGTCCAGGATTGTTGTCTGTATCTCCAGAGTCCGAGACAGAGCCTGGTGTGTAGCAGGTGCTCCTTAGATACCTGGTAAATGAATGAATGGAAGTCCCTTGCTCCAGGCTTTGGTTTCTCTGGGACATGACAAATGATGTGGATTTGCAGCCTGTTTGAATATGATGCACTAATGTCTCCGTCTCCCTCACTCCTGTCCCTGCTCAGAAAGGGGGCAAGATAGCTAAGTGTGACATACCCTGGGGTCTCCTGGAGTAGTACTCGGCCTCGGAGGGTTCAGGGTGGGGCTCTATGCCCTGAGCCAGCCTTCCCGGAGAAACGATCTCTGGGCTGCATTTCTCTTGAACACCGTCATAGCCAACCATCCTTCCTTCTGCTTCTGCCCAGATTCGGGGCCTCTTCTCCTTCCCAAATTTTTTGGATCGGGAGGAGTGTGGATTTGAGCTTATCCCTTCCCGCATGGAATGCAGTTCACTTGGGTAGAGAAGCCAGCCGCGCTCCACCTACTGGAGGCCGGAATAAAAAGACGGTGTGGGCTAGCGACACTTCTCCTTGTCCTACCTGCAGTCCTGGTGACCGTGGCACACATCTGTTGAGCCTTGCCATCGCTTTGCCGGGCTCCGAGAACATCCAGGACTTGTCTGATGTTGGGTTTTACTGCCCATGAACGCAAACAACACCTCCGTCATGGCCAGTTAAACAGTATCTTTTACAGTGGACTTGTGCATATCTGAAACCCACCCATCCACAGCCAAAAAGTCATGCCAGGGGGGAGAGATTTTCTTCTGCCATGTTTCTTACAAGGGGAGAACAGGGGTCAACTCAATTCATAAAATTACCGCAGTCATTTTTCAGCTGGCTGAGAGACTTCATAGATCAAAAAATACAGTGGCTTCTAAATGATTTCTGATATGCACAGTTCTAGCTTTTTTTTTTTTTTTTTTTTTTTTTCTCAGCATGTGGTGTGGAGCCTGCCAGAAAACATCTCTGTGGCTATTGACAGGCGGACGAGAAATCACCCATGATGGTTTCCATCGTTTCCCTATAGGCTGGTCATCCATTTCGGCGGCTGACCGTGAGCCCCTCTCAAAGCCGGCTTTCTACGCGCCGCCCTTACGTTTTTGCTCTTCTCTTTCAGTGCGGCGCTCACCTCGGGCACATTTTCGACGACGGACCTCGTCCCACCGGCAAGAGATACTGCATAAACTCGGCTTCCCTGTCGTTCACGCCGGCCGAGGGCAGCGGCGCCGAGGGCAACAGTGGGGCGACCCCCCCACCCCCCCTGGGGGACAGAGCCGAGCTGTAGGGTCCCGGAGAGCCGGGCAAACAAGTGTACTTAACGCGCAGCTTGTGAAAAACAGCAAATACTCCGAATTGTCTATCTTAGATCTATTTTTTCAAGAAATAGAAGGGCAGTTTTGTGCTATCGATATTTTTCTTGTTTGGCTTAGACAGAGGCCCCAGCCGTCCATGTATTTTGCTATCGACTAGATCGGGAACTCTTTATCCCTTCAGCGAGTGGAGAGGGCGTGGTGGATCGCTTTCCCAGGCCACCTGAGTACCAGTTGGCATTGTTTTCTTTGCGCACACAGCTGCTTTTGCGATTTCTCCCCCTTGGCTTAGGAGACGGAGGGTGCTCGGGGTTCCCACCAGAGATCCCCTCCGCGGTGGTGAGAGCAGAGCCCCCAGCTCGGGGCGCACGCCTGCAAGACACGTGGCCCAGCGGCATTTGGGCAGGCCTACCTGAGACAGGGCGGACGGATGCCCGAGGAGACTGCTCAGCTCTGGAAAGTTTGAGCTAAGGTCATTTATTCTCACTAAAAGGGTGTGAAGGTCTGAAGTCTTTCCTTATGTTAAATTGTTGCCAGATCTGAGGGTGGGGGGCAGAGAGTTACAGTGAGTGTTGTGGTGGAGAAGTAAACATTACCTCACGGTGAGGCCTTTATTTTATTTTATTTTATTTTCCATTGAAAACATTGGAATGTAAGACAACGGTAAAATGCCGAGCCCTGTTTTGCCCAAAGGCCGTGCAGAGAGCACCTGACGTGGCCTTTTTGAAGTCCATCCCTCCACACCTAGCACCAGCTGCTGCTGGGAGGGCATTTTGGTAAATCCCACTGTGTAAAATAAAATACTGGGACAACACACCTCATCAAGGCAGCAGAAGTAAGAGAGAGCCGAGAGGACCAAAGAGAAGTCCTGGGTATTGAAATACCCAGGGCTGAGCGGAGAAGCTGACAATAGACTCCAAGTAACAGAGCCCAAAGCTGGGGATCTTGTGCACAGAAATTTGGGTGACTTCTGGAAGGATGCAGGGGCTTAAAATGGAAAGAACCAGGAGCTCAAGTCCTACCCTGCTGTGTGACAAGGGGATAAGCCATTTAGCCTCTCCATGCCTACTCTTCGTTTAAAAACCAGGACTTACATTATTTGTAAAATAATTGACACTCTCAGGGCAAATTTACTGTATTGCTGTACCATTAAGATTGGTGTTGTAAAATTAAACTGATCTGGTTTCTAACTGCCTCAAAGGCTGAAGCCCAAGCATTTGAAATGGAAAGAAGCAGAGAGAGAGGTTGGCTTAGCTAATTGGTATGAAAACAGTTGGGCCAAGAGCCAGAAGTTTTTCTTTGTAGCAATATGGCTGGTTTTACTCTGAGAAGCTCTGCTCTGTTGCTGTGTAATGCTTACCGGAATGGATGTCATTGTGTGTGATAAAGTTTCCACAGGCATGAACAGTGATGATTTAAGATGATATTGCCATAGCCAGGTTTGAGGGTATAGTTTATGATGGATAGATACTGTGTTCGTAGCCACAAATGCTAATCCTGCAATGTAGTTTTTTTTTTTTTTAAATATTACTTTTGTAAATCTTTGAAAGCTTATGGAAACTGACATCCTACCTTGTAAGCACCAAGACAAAAATAAGAAAGAGGGACACTTGACAGTTTTACAATGAGAAACAATGAGAAGTTAAAATGAAAAGTGACAAATCCAAGTGGCAGTGTGGTCATGGCCACATTCTTCCACGTGTCTACACATGCTCCCTGGCGAGGCCCTGCCTGATACTCTGGTGACTTCCATGTCACTTATACTCTAGCTTCACCGTGCCAGATGAGTCATGTTCTTCCAGCCCCCAGCTGTTTCACCTCAGGCCCTGGCGTCCTTGAATTGAGATGTAAGATTTAAGACCGTGGAAGCCACAGCCCCCAGACCATCCTGGCAGCCCGTCCCAACCTCACAGAGGAACCCCATCATTTCCCAGAGACCCAAGGATCCCATGTGGGATTGGCTAAAGAAGAGAGTCTCCCTGGACTTCCCTGCCACAGTGGACATCTGTCCCTTGGGCCACATAGCACTTCTCCCATTGCTCCAGCTACATATAGTAGCCTGCCCCAGGTTTCTGCTGGACACGCCACTGGGTCGAGGTAGACAAGAAAGATAAACAAGGGGCTTCTTCCCCCTCCCCAGAGATTCTGGACTCTCATTGTTCTCTCATTTTTATTATCAGGCTGAACATTACCCTCTAAAAACTCCTTTTCTAATCCTTATCTTTGTTCCAAGGAAAGCTGGCTTTTCTCCTACCACATTTTCCAGCATCAACTTTAGGGAAAATGCAACATCCATCGAAAAAAAAAAAAAAACAACCCAGAAAACAAAAAAACAAAAAAACGTGGGGTATATGCATGTGGTTTAATTCCAGATTGCTTTTTTGAGTTTAAGTGGTATCAACTTTCAGTATATTTCTGTCTTATGTTAAAGAAATATATTACTAAAACGTTGGTGAGCAATAATGTCAGCTGTCGAGCACTAGATTTATTTTTGCAGGATATGGAGCGCAATGAACTGCGTCAATATGGCAAGGTGTATGTGATCTGTGGGAGTTGTGCCATTTAACATAGGAAATGCACAGGACTTTCCCTCTCTGCACTCAGCCCTTACCGTAGCATTAGGAGATGCCGGTCTCTGCTGGTGGGTACAAAAGACATCCATATAATCATGCAGAATGGATCTGAAGAAAGCAGCAGTATATATATTACATTAGAGAACATTTCTATATGTTTTAACTCTTCACTTCTTAGATGCATTTAAATACTTAATGCAAATGACACAGCAATCTAAAAGCCTCTCCATGTTAATCGAATTGAAATGCCTTGTTTTAAATGTGGCGTATTATGAGAGGGATTATCACTTGTTCTGAAGGTCAGTTATTTTTGTCTTAGATAGCTTTGTAATAATTTTTCTCCAAACAATTCAAAACTTTTGAAAAATGTATGAGATTTTCATTGGAAGAACCCTTTTCCTATGTTTATTGTATACAGAAATTATGCAATAAAATTTCTTTATAAAAATGCTCTCGTCTCTGATTCCTGGTTATTTTTAGCACAGATATTTGGACCATCCATGGGAGTTTGCCGTAGACTGATCTGTTGGCCTCCTCCCAGCTGATATGTGTGTATTTTGCATAGAGGGCTTATTATCTGATGTGGCCTTTGCATGGAGGGACTCTAATCAGAGGGTCATGTCGGATTCTCCAACGCCCAGGCCCCAGGAAAGGCCTCTAGGGATCTGAAAGATTGGAGGAATGGCGTTTGCAGCATTACTCAGCTTTCCCCTCCGCACAATCCTCAGTACCTTCTGTACATTTTGGGGCTTCAAATACGGACTTTGGGGAGCTCCAGTGTGATGATAGCTCTGTGGACAAAAATGTAGGAATGATACCATGCTGATTCCTTCAGCTTCTGTTAAATAATGTGCTGGGAAACTTCTATGGTTGTTAAGGTTTGGTCTCCAGGGAAATAAGGTAGGCATTCCCTGCCGCTCACGGATGAAATCCCCTTTAAGTCATCTGTACGGATGAGTTTCAGCGTAGTATTATTGGTTGTTGAAATCTTTCATTTAAATGTTTTGGTTTGTTCTACTAACTTATTTTTGTGTGTGTGTGGAGGAAAAGTGAGGTGGTGAAGACTTTGCTTTTCAGCCAATTCTTTAAGTCCTAATCCTGGGATCTTGGAATCCACAGGCCAACAATGTCACGTAGTGTACGAAGAACAGTGCTTCTCAAAGCGTGGTCCCCAGTCCGCAGGGTCTGTAGTGCCTGGGAACTTGCTACCAATACACATTCTCAGGCCTCCTCCCAGACTCACTGCAATAGGAATTCTGGGATGGAACCTGAGCTATTTTTGTTTTAGCAAGCCCTCCGTGGGACTACAGTGCTTGTTCTAGTTTGCGAACCATCGCCTTGGAACTTTTAGTGAGGTAAAGTCAATTAGTCTGAATTTTAAAAGCATTTCTTTATGACTCAAAAATGCCTTGTTTTGTCATCGGTGGTTGTCTTTTGACAGAGATGGAACAAACAGTTGTCCCCAGGCTTCCTGCCTCTCGGCTGTTCTTACCCTTCCCTGCGCATTTATTTGTCTTGTTCTCGAGCACTAGCATGTCCTCATCAACCAGCACTTCACTCTGGTTTGCCTTTCTGGGTTGAACCTGGGCCTCTCGGTAGTGCTCGCCTATACCTCTCTAGAACTGTAGGATATCCATGGTGGTACTCAGCTCAGCAAAGCCAAGAACTAGAGAACAGTCTCAGTGCAGAAATGGACATACGACCCTTCCCATCTCTTCTGTTTCTTTGTACCTGTACCTTCCATCATCATCAACATGGGTTTGTTTGTTGTTTTTAAACCGTCAAGAGATTTCGGTCATGTATCCAAATTGTTGAATTATTTGGTCAGAAAACTGCTGTCATTACCCGGATCTTTTTTTTTTTTTTTCCATTACTCAGATCTTAACAAAGAAATGAATTCTAAGAGATGCTGGCATACAAGAAAGGTTGAATTAAAACTTGTCCTTGGGGACAGGTTTATTTATCTGTACTGACTTCTGATTATAGTTTTTTGTGCACTATGGAAATGACAGAAATGTTACCATTTTGAATCGGGATCTGAAAAAGTACCACGTGCCACAGAATATTCTAGCAATCCACTTCCTATCCACTTGCTCTCAGAGGCTGGCCTCATCCTGGACCAACCTGGAAAAAGGCCAGATAATGACCAGAGGTTCTAGACCAAGCAGCCCCTGAGAGTCTGCCATGCGAGTGGCAGGCTTTCACAGAACTGTCACCGGTGAGGCCCAAATGGCCTGAGATCCGGGAACGACATCAGATCCTCAGGCCCACATGAGACTTTCCCAATTTTCAGGCTGGCTGCGGAAGCCCACTCACTTGGATTATCGATGTTGGGAACCTCCTTCTTATTTCAAGCGTTGCACTTTCCCTCCCTTCCGGGTCCACCATCTCCACTCCCTGCCAACGAACTCCCACGTTATCATCCAGGCTCAGCGGGAACCTGACAGATTTTCAGCATTGAACAGCAGGATAGTCCTCCTGTAGTGACCCAAGTGCGTACTGCAGCATTGTACCGACAGGGTGAGAGTGTAGAAAGCTGTAGAAGAAGCTAGAAAGCAAAGGAAGGGAGAGTATCTGTATTAGCACAGGAGATAGTTGTTAAGAGGTAAGCTGTGGTTGCCTGAAGCTTTATTCCCCAGGCCCTCGGCCTCACCATGAGATTTCTCTTGACCTTGATAATACTGTGTATTGACCTTGATAATACTGTGTCATCTCTGTAAGTCAGGCACTTGGTCTGTTTTCTTTAATAAGAGGTATGTAGTCTTATCCCCATTTTACGGATGGTGGAGCTAAAGCCAGACCTGTTAAGCCAAGTTACACAGCTGGTACGTGGCCAGATTGAAATCCATGTTCGTTCAAAGGCTTCCTACTTAACACTACGCGGCCCCCCAGGTAGAAGACTGGCTATTGGCTACTGTTCAGCAGCAGGCTTTACTGAGGCAGAAATATGTGTTTATATCATTTCTTATTTCAAATTAATTGCAATTTGCCCTTCCAAAATATAATCTGCAATATGAATGCTTTATTTCAGGCGGGGCTTAATTAATCATCGCACACCATGATATTTTTTTTTTTTTTATATCTCAGTGATAGAGCTTAAGTTTTTTCCTAAGGGCTCACAATATTCCTAATGGTTTCTAACTACCACGTAGACATACACACACACACACAAAGCCACCTCCTGGATCCAAATGGAAAAAAAAGAAGAAGAGAAGTGATGCTAAAGATGTCCTTGATAAAAACATCCCATTTCTGGCACAGCAGATCGGGTTAACCTCCCATCTAGGAAGAAATAGAGCCCTGTGGGTGGAAATGGGGTGTTCTTACCGATGTCGCTAAGTTGGGAGAGTCTGCAATCAGAGACTAACAAGGGGGGCACAGATTGCTGAGGGCTCTCACCACACCCAGACCCAGAGCAGATCTGCAGGGCATATGATGGACCTATCCCAGAAACTGACGGAATAAAGAGATTTGTTTCTGTTTGATTACCATTCATGACAGATTGATAACTGCAAAGGCATTCAAACTCCGTGTTTCGTCCCCCTCTTCCCTTTAACACTACAGCTTGGAAGGCCAGTCAGGCATCTGGTGTTTGTTAGATGGCTGTGTTGCATCATCCTTATGATTGCTGGGGAACATCTCCTAGCATTCGAGCGATTGGAGGGAAGACCACGGGGCACAAAATGGCCTCATCCGGTTTACATCTTCATTACTGTGCTTCTCACATACCTGCTTACATCTGGAAAAAATCTCCAGGTAAACCTCTTGGGCTCTTTTTCTAAAGAGTAACTGTAATTATTAGGGTTATACCCAAATTCAGCTTAGAATAGGTATGTGGCTGAACTTCAGCCAAAATCCTGTGCCTGTCTAAAAGAAATTTTCTCTTTCTTTCTTTCTTCTTCTTCTTCTTTTTTTTTTTTTTTTGTTTACATCCAATTACATAGGAGGGGCCTTTTCCCCACCATGGCCAGTGGGGTTCCTGGTTCTCTACACCCAAAGCTTCTATTTATGGCCTGAGGGAAAAGACAAGGAGACTTTAGGGAAAATAAAAACAAAACTTAAAGATCTCCTCAGATCTCTCACTGACTTTTTCCTCAGGACCAAGTCCCAATTCTGATTTGTGTTACAGGTCATGTCAACTTTCACAAATGCCGAGTCTTTTCCCCACGAGGTACTATCACAAAATTGACCTTGCCAAGTAAGAACATCAAAAAATTTTTTCTACTTGACTGTTTCCTGCTTCTCTCACTTGGACAGGGTTCGTCCATTCAACGCACATTTCTTGAGCCCTTCCTGGGCGAGGCACGGGACCCCACAAACGGAGTAAGACTGGGTACCTGCAGGTAGCTGGGGAGACAGACACGCAGCTGATTACACGGAGTACCAGTGTGTGGCGTAGGTCGCACGTTAGTGCGGACGGAGCATTATGAGAGCTCGGCTGGCAGAAGGATGCACTTTGCCACAGGAAAGGGGGATAGCATAGAGGGAGGCAGAGTTAGGGAAAGCTTCATTTAGAGAGGAGACAGAACATATTTTTTGAAGAGTCTGTGGCATTTTACGAAGAAGAAGAGAAAATAAGGTCGTTTAGAGAAATGGACGGTCACTTGGCTGCCTCCACTCTGGGATGTGGGCCAAACAATTCTGCAGTAGAACTACAGAGATCCTTCCCAATCCGGCAGCCACCGGCCTGTTCCAGCCTCTTGTCTCACCTCCCCTTCCTTACCCCACCCCCAGC